ATACTGATTTTTGCACTTACGAATACCGAGAATGTAGAACATTGTACATTTACTTACCAAATCGAATGTAAAAAAAAATTCGGATTTTTATTTTTCAACATAAGCATAAAATAAATATTAAAATATATGAAGCACAAAATATAAACGCATATAAATATTGTGCTCAATCTTCAATTTTTCAATATTGAATTACACAAAATTTAAAAATATAATCTCCACATTCAACTCAATCATTCATATTTTTTTTAGATGACACAATACTGTTATGCAATTATAAAAATAATTTTCAATTACTTTCTTATATCATGAAAATATTTCTAGATATTGTTTCAAAAAATAAATAAAAATACGATAAATACAAAATTCGTGCAACGCACGTGACAGTGACTAGTGTATAAAAACAACTTTAGATCTAATTTTTGAAGTTGAATTTTAAAAAATCTAGTTAGGTGTAATTTTCAACGTAAAGTAAGCAATATATATCAAATTTGCTAAATGTTGCTTGCAATGGTTCAATGTAACATTAGACATTTCGATTCTTTCTCTATAATTTTTATTAATACAAACACTATATGTGATTAATTTAATTCTGAAAATACAATATTTTATTATTTTCTATTACACGATGCTTCGATATATTTTGCAATAAAGAAATCTCTTCTAGTTCGAGTGCTATTAAAGAATAATTAGTAGTAAAATTTAACCATTGTTTGTGCTGCTTCTATGACTTTTCTTGTAATTGGTCTTACTATGCCCCGTTTGAGCCGCATTAATGTAAGGATGAGAATAAAAAATATATTCGTTATGGGTCGCACACAAGAAATAGAAAGTCAAATATGGTAGCTTGATGTGATGGATAACGATCATATTTTTCTATCTAATGGACAAATAATGGGAAACAAACAGGAGTTATGATTTGAAATGAATACAAACTCCGTATAGAAAAAGTCGATCAAAACTACCTAACAATGGTAGACCTGTACATACATTTGACAAAATAGCCTCTGAAGTTCAAATTGGGCCCTCTTGAGATCGCACCAACTATTCCTCTTCTCCTTTTTCAATAATCGTGATGCTAATAGTATTTTATACTAATTGTTGCATAATTTGAGATTGCCATTATAATAATGGTTGTGAAAATTGTCACAATTGTGGTCAAAAGGAATTTCCAATAATATATGACGGGTTTAATCGTCTCAAAAAAGATAACATACATCAAAAGGAAAAGAATGAAAATCAATGATGCTACCAATACAAAATTTTTTGATAACTCAACATATGACGAGAATTGATTGGAAGATAGAAAGAAATAAAAATCCGATCATCTGTGGTCACATCAGCATCGATAATAATTTAGTAAAAAATTCCCGGCGACTTTTTCCAATAAAAATAGCCAACCTGTAAGAAAATTAACATAGTAGCGCCTTCGGGTTCATTTCCATTAGTTTCAAAGTCAACGCTGGTTCCAATCTCAAATTCGCAGTGGAAAGATGGTCAGAGTTTTCCCACTTTCTGGGGAGAGAGAAATTATATTCTTTTTCTTGCCGAGCAAGATATCCCAACTTATATTTTGCCTAGTCGGCTATAGTTCATTTAGCCCAGTTTGGCCTTCATTACATTAAGTTATATTACATTTCATTTTTCGCTTTCTTATTTTCAACCACACAATTTTTCATAAAATAATATTACACGTAAATCGAAAATTTTTACTTCTTTTTCAAACATTTATTTATCAAAAAAACATTATTCCACCTATTTTTACTTCGAAAAATGAGGGACAAACGGGTAAGTTGGAACTAAGAAAATATAGCATATAAAGACATTTATTTTATACAGGCACATATTAATTTAATAGTTCATTTTTCTTTTACTTGTATATTATATGCAATTATTATGCAAGGGGAAAATACAAAAATGGTATACTTGTTGCATATGGATTTAAGGATTTTATCGTCCTAATCTTAAAAGATAAGTTCTTGTCTCATTAGCACTTCACTTGATTATAGTAAAAAGTTTGTTATCTTATGTGTCCTCCAGAAAGCCTGAAAATAGAATTGTATACCGTTGAATTTTTCTTTGAACTCTAGTGATTTTATTTTATAACTTTGATTTATTCTTGATTAACAAGAACAATGGAGAAATTTGAAATACTCATCACAATGTCTCGAAAATATTCATTAGTGTAGCATGTTAGGAATGACATACCAAAAAAAAAAAAAAAAAAAGTAAATAAATACCAAACAAAAACATATACTAAAATAAACCCCCATTATCTCCCAAAATTTCCCTACCCATGAAAAAAAGGGAAAATTGCAATCAAGGCACCAAGCCTTTCGTATGTGTCACCCTAAATACCAAACCGTTAAAAAATTCGTAGGTCAAGTCCAAATTGGCAAAAACTGTTTGACCAAGAAATAGAAATTTTTATAATTTTTGACCAATAAATTAAGGGCATTTCAGTCAAAACACAATTACCCTTGTACAAAATTATTCTTCTCCTCTCTCACATAAACCAAATCAAAGTTTATCTATCCTATCGACGACCATCATCACCCATCATTGATGTTGCGCCATCGCCGCAAATCACCAGATCTGGCACGTTCATCCAAACCCGAAAGATCGAGAATCGAAATGGATGACCCACACTACAAACCAAAGAAAATTTAATTTTAAGCATATCCTAAATTTCGAACCTTGTACCCACCGAACCTAGTCCTCCACGGTCACTAGACAATAGAACATCATAGTAAGAGATTTTTTGAGGATAATGCATTTGCTATGGAGGTGGAGTGTTTTCTTCTATGCAAAGGTCTAGACAAAAGACTCCATGAAAATGGCAAGAGATGCTTTTTCTGTGACTTTTATGGTTCTTTTGGTTAATACTTTGAGGATTTTATGGCTTTTGAATTTATATTGCTGTTTCTTTTTCAGTGAGTTTTTTATTTTGCCATTTCTTTTAATTTTGGTTTCCAATTGGACGAATAGATTTGATTATGAGCTGATATTTCATGTTTCTTTGTTTTATTTAAACAAAATTTCCTCCTAAATCTTCAATGGTGGTGCAGTTATTGTTGGCAACGCAGTGTGTAAAGAAGATAGATACAGTTTGCAGTGATGGCGCAACCATCGATGATGGTTCTGTGATGGAGAAGAGGGAAGGAGAAAAGAAGAAGAATAATTTTGTTGAAGAATAAATGTATTTTAACTGAAATGTCCTTGATTTATTTGGTCAGAACTATAAAATTTTCATTTCTTGGTCAACTCACGATCACACTCACATTGACAGTTTCCGTCAATTTGGACTCGACCTATAAATTATTTAAAGGTTTGGCATTTAAGTTGGTACAAATAAAAGGTTTGGACTAAGTATGCTAATAAAAAGAATGTTTGGTACTTGACTGTAATTTTCCCTAAAAAAATCCTCATATTCTCTTCGAAGTCGAATATATTGGAGAAAATAGGAGTACCGTGTGGCAACCACCAACTGACCTGTGCGTAGTTAACGCGCACTTGAAATAAAGTAAAGAACGTGGACGACAATATGTTGTTGGGACCCATTTCTCAAATCTTATTGGTCATTTCTAACAAACCTAGCCATCCAACTGTTAAGCATTTGCCATAATAAATAAACCAACTGATATGGTGACATCTAGATGGCTTAATTAATAATCAAATGTTGTTATTGAAAGTAATTTTTTAGAATCATTTTTCATGTTCATTCTCAACTATGTATTCTTCACTATATATTTATAATTTTTATACCTAATTTTTAACCATAAATTCTTAAAAAATAATAAATTATTTTTCACTTGATTAATCTAATTTAGACAAGCATATCAAATTAACATTAAGGGCCGGCCTTGTGATATTGATAAAAAGTTGTAGGGTTCATAAAATGCATAGTGATTTGTGAATAAGTGGATAAAATTTGTTACGCTCTGTTTGGCTCCCACCAAAATTAAAATTCATTTTTTCCATCTTCTTCTCAATTTTACATTCCTAATAAAATAATATTACACATAATCCCAATTTTTTTAAGCACACAATCTTCAAAAAATTACTATTTCAAAATACATTTTCCCAAATTCTCATTATAATTTGGGGCAAACATTGGCGATTCCATTTTATCTAAAATATATTTTTATCTCTCTTATTTTTTAATCAGTATTTCTAATAAAATAATATTACACATAAACTTAAAAATATGCCTTCTTTGATACTCACACATTTTTTTAAAAAAAAAATCAATATTTCAAAATACATTTTTCTCAAAACTACATTAAAATGAAGGCTAAACATAGGCTGAATTCAATAACATGGATCATTAAAATTGAAGTTTGATCAACATTTTAAAACAGAAAATTTACCAAAGAAGCGTTATATATGTTAGATGCATAATTATGCAATTATTTTACCTTTTTTATGGCCATTATAAAATTGAGGAAATTAATAATTGAATTGTGAAAAAAGGCAAGTGCCTAGCGCGAGCCTTTTTTTTATTAGTTTTTTTGAAAAACGAATTGTTAAAAAGTAAGAAAAAAATTTGATTTTATGTGTAAAATATTTTATTATGTTAATATATGATTGAAAATGAATTTAATAAAGAATTTTGAAATGCTGTGGTGCTGCTCACCCACAACTTCGGAAGAAACGAAAAATCTAGATGGGTCCGAAAGCCAATTGCTGCTTGCCCTCTAATTTAGCATTACAATGCCCCTTTTCTCGACAATCACATTGCATTCAGACTGAATAATTCTATTAATCTTCGTTAGAAATGAGTGTTAATTTTTTTTCTTCAAATTAAATGGACACATTTTCTCCATTATTGAAATTTAAAAAGGAAATATGGAATTAATGGTAATTGTTAACAAATAAATGTATTCTGAGTTTCTTAATAATAATAATAATAATAATAATAATAATAATAATAATAATAATAATAATAATAATAATAATAATAATAATAATAATAATAATAATAATAATAAGAAGCAAAAATCTATTTATGAATATCATAAATTTCATCATCATCTTCCACTACAACGGCACAAGCGGATCAACAATCAATAACAACCACTGATTCAAAAGGAAAAAAAATATATGTATTAAATTTGAATCGCCTAATTGCCAAACTCATAAATTTCAAGCTTTGAAGCATAAAAACTGGTGGTGGTGTTGGTGGTTGTGGTGGTGCTGGTGGTTGTGGTTGTGGCGGTGTTGAGATTTCTCTTTGTCAATCATATCCTGAACATGGCGAAACTGTTCGACATGGCAAGGAATATTAATTGGACCTTTTTGATCAAATCCATATTCATTTTCGGCCACTTTAAGCAACTCCATGAAGAGCGGATGGTTGATATAGATCACCGGAACAACGAACCGCTGCTGCTCCTCCCCTTGCCCCACCGTTATCGCCACACGACCCTTGGGTATATCCTTCTTCCCCTGGTGGTGGTGGTGATGGAAATGAATCAACGCCGTGTTCAGATGGAAATTCAGATGACTTTTATCTCCACTACCCATCTCAAGATCAAAAAATACACAGCAAAACAAGAAAATCCTAGATTTTCTCTAGTAGAAATGTATAGATCTAAAAGACGTTACAAGAAAACAAGAGAAAAAGGCCAGGGGTCTGATGCCGAAATGGCAAGTTTAAAGAGCGAAAGGGAAGAATTTGTTAAGGATGTTGGAATATTGCTCATGATAAATTATGGTATAACCCGAAACTGTAAAGCATATGAAAAATTTGTGTGAAGAGATTGAGACGAATTTAGGGAATACAGATGCCTGTATATATACCCACACACACGCGGAGTGGGGAATCCTTGCAAGTTGTAGCTGTATATGACTTTTGGGTTTCTTAATTTATACGCTGAAGTGTTTTCTAGAGAGGTAGAGAAGCTGAGCGGAAATAGTCATATTGATTACTTGGGAGACGGGAGTTGCTTGCAAGCTTGTTTTGTGATGGTTATGAAACGAAGGGACTCATTGACAAAGTTAAAGGCCAAATAAATTAAAAAATATATTTTTAGTTAAGGACCAAGTTTTGAGGGGATTTAAGGGACGGGGTCAATATTAGAAGACTAGTTCGAATTTTAATTTTTTTTATTTATTACTGAAAAACCTGACAAACATTGCTTTATTTGTCTATTAATTTTTCACATTTTACTACGTTATTTTTCTATAGTATTCATTTTTAACTATACATTCTTTATTAAAATAATATTACATGTAAATAAAAAAAATTCCTTCTTTTTTAACCACACATTTCAACATCAATCACTATTCCATGATACATTACTCACAAATAATGGGGCACGAACAAGCACTAAATGGACAAGTAGCAGCCCGCCCAAATTTTCATTTCACTCCTTGAGGATTAAAATCAGAATTTGAATAAGTATTGATAAAAATTAATGAAATGTATTATTGAAAATTAGACCCTTTAAAATATGTGGTTAAAATTAATTACTGACTTTGATTTAGGTTAAAATATGAATTTTAATTCCTATCAAATAGCGGATTAATAATCATTTAATTCTCAGAAAATAGGTCGGACTTTAAAAATTCTAAGTTTCTATATTCTACCTCTAAAATTGAATAATATCATTGATTTTCGGGGGTAAATTAATAAATTTTTAATAACTATTAATTGGCCAATTGACACAATAGGTTCATATCCACTTCACTACCTAATCTTCAATATCATTTTGCTTTTAATAATTGAACCTCATATCGATCATTTTTTGTGCACACATCTACCATCTCATTTCGCTCATTTGCTCCGTCAAATTGTTTCATGCAATCCACTCGTGAGATTTGCCCAATTGTAATTTGATCATGACACTATCTCCCATATTTTTGTAAAAATTTAAGGTTTAACATGCCAAAGCAAAATTTGAAACTTGCAACTCAACACAAATCTCGAGTTCTGAGTGACACCCTAAATTTGTATGGCAAGTTAACATGTCAAATCTTCAGCTTGCTATTCAAAAATCGAGTAAGTTGACCAAATATTGACTTTGCTAGACTGACCAAACTTCAAACGTGTATAAATTTTTTTTTTTTTTTTTTTTTATCCACAGCCCGAATTAATGGAATTGTACTTTATTTTTTGTCTATTAAACTCGAGACTTCCATCGAAAACTGTAAGCTTGTCATGACAAATTCTAGATGTGATAAGAACTCAATATTTGCGTTTAGTTGCAAATCTCGATTTTTATTTCAGCATATCAAACCTCGGAATTTTAGAAAAATAAGTCAATTTGTGTCTTGACCAAATTACCATTACAAAAATCAGATGAGTGAACTACGTGATCATTACGTAGCAAATAGACGGAATAGGACGCTAAATATGATTAGGGTAAAGAATGATCAATAAGAATGTTCTAATGCTAAAAGTGAAAGTAGACCGTAGCTAAGGCAAAAAATTGCTAGTTAATAGAATCTTAAAGATGAAAACTATAATTCAAAATAAGCATAAAATTAATGAATAAAAGTTAAAAACCTTTAACCATCGTTTGTTGTAGATTAAAATAAACAATTAAGCCCTTGTTTGGTAGTCTTTTTTTTCAGAATACATTTTTCTCTCACTTCTTTTTAATCACACATTCTTTATTAAAATAGTTTTACACGTAAATCAAAAACTTTTCTTTATTTCTCAACCACACATTTCATATCAATTTACTATTCTAAAATGCATTTTTACATAAAAATATCTATCAAACACCCCATAATATTAATCATATGGTATCTACAACTTTTCTACCATATGTGTTATCAACTTTTATCTATATCTATTGAAAATATAATTTTTATCTACACCAAACAGGAGTTTAATTATAAGAATTTTGCTATTTGTACATTGACATTGACACTGCGGTGCACACTCATGTGAGGGGCCATGCCCAATAAAAAAATGTGGGTCCCCTTGTGTGAGAGGCGTGTCAACGCTGGTGTACGTGTAGCACAATTGTAATTATAATGTGACGTGTTTATAAATGATGTAGTGTCGACCGACATAAATATATTGATTTGGGTGGATTAAAATCAGATTTTTTTTTTAGAATTTGATGAATTGTATAATTAAAAAGTTATGAAATCCATAATATAAGTGCTTAAAACTTTAATCAATACCAAACAGGTTGGTGTGGTCAAGTATTTCAAAATGACCTTCCTTTTACAACTAAATTGGCCCGCAACTTGCGCGCCTGATGGGGCCGGGGCCGCCGAAACAATGGCATATTTTGTGGCATAACCATTTTCCGTTACGAAAAAGTAAGAATCATGTGATCCGCAATCATGACCCATTTAAATTTTTTTTTTAATTTATTTATTTATTGCTTGTGAAATAACAACAATTTTTTATACCTTCATTTTCCATTTTGGGGTTATCCTGGAACTACAAAGTACAAACAGAATTGAAAATTAAAATTAGACAAATAAAATATTTTGATCTTCTCCTTGATATTTATATTACAATCAAAGGAATCTAAATTTCGATAATCTTACTTCAATGAAATGTGTTATCAGATAAAATTTATTAATTGTCTTACTTAATGACTCAGCGTACAACACATACTTTAATTTGTTATTAAAATATTTTTTTTACGCCAATTAATTATTTATTATTATTTTTTTTTTTGGTGAATTGAGTTTTGTTATGTTGTTTATTGATGGATAAATATGACAATTTATTCATTTTTGTTTTCTAAATGATCTTCCCCTCAGAAATTACCGGGGAGAGTGTTTTCAGTGCGAGGCAAATTTCTTGATGATTTTCTTCAGATATTTTCTGTCACACTGAATTCCACTGGGTTTTCACGAATTCGCCTCTTGGGGACAAGCGCACAATTCTATTTCAATTGAAACTCTATATTTTACTTATTATGGCTAGCCGACGAGTGATGTGAAAACCAACGTTCGACTCACGATTAGAGAAATTTCTTATTAAAATTTTACATTCTACTCATTATGGTAAGCCGATCTACGGACTAATTCACATGAACCGATGAGCTCGTGAGCCATTTTGCTTGATTAGACAAGCTTGCAGAACAACTCAATCAAGCTGTTGAGTTGCGAGCTAACTTGTGAGAGTTGACGAACTCGCACGAGAAAATCGTTGCTCAACTCGCTATGGAACAAGTCAAGACAAGCTGACGAGCAACTCATCCCATTTAACACCCCATTTATAAACAACGTTCTTGTGTGAACTAGTTCCAAGTGTCTTTTCACATATGATGAACAATCATGGAGTTGACCAGCTGGTACCAGCAAAACATCTTTAAGTATCCCTTGAGAGGTCCCTCAAAGATGGGATGTGTTACGCCTCATTTTATGAGCCTTGGAACCACTCCGACCCTCCGAAGCCAGCCTCTCCGAAGTGATACACCGATTCCTGCCACTGATCTGCCGAAGTGTCCCGTCTCCGAGGTCGGCCGAGGTCGGGTTCAAGTGGCTTGAACCCCCGTTAGAAGATTCGCTACCAATTTAAGATTTGCTCTGCATATAAGGTTTAAATTGATGTGACGTCCCCCATAAAACTATTTGATGTGACTTATCAACTTTATGTCAATTCAACTCGGGGGAAACAAACTGTCCGCCCACTCTACAAGCGCGGCTGATTGACGCCTATGAGCAGACGCTTCATACCGTCAGATGTATACACGTGTTCCACATCCCACGGTTCATACCACCTATAAATACCCAAAGATTGGCCAGAGGCAAAGGGAATGAAACTCTCAATAGATAGCACTCCATAACAAGTTTATATATTCTCCTCCCCCTTTATTGACTGATTGATTTGTGTAGTCCTTGGACACTGTTCCGACCACCCAAACTTAACTTGACCGTCGGAGTGTATACGGCCGCCACCACCGTTGGTTCCGGCCGTGTGCGCCTGACAGTTTGTTCATTTCGTAGGGAGGAATACGTGGAGTAGCTACAAGTTGGCCACGTGGAAGAGCCATTTTTAGAGGTCAACAGGATGCCATACACATTGATTGTATTTTTTGATGTTAGGATATCATAGAAGACAAATCAAGTGCTTCGTATAAGGCTGTATCAACATCCAACTGCACTTAAATGAGGAACTCATCTTGAATGCAACCGGGTAACAATCATAAGACTTTGAGCAGAGCATTGATCACCACCTTTTTCAATTTAACTGCACATTGCTTGCCGTTAGCCAAAGGGAGGGCATGTAAGCACAGTATTTCAAAAATAAATGGTCTTCTTCTTTGGCCTCAATTGAAAAATGAAACATAAGCATCATTGATATGATAATTTTCCTTTACTCGTAAGTGAAAAAATGCTGTTTACTTTGAGAGTGAATGTGTAATGTGTTTCGCCTTTGACTAATGAAACCTTATTTATTTTAAACCTTGTTCATTTATTTATAATTGAATTTTTTAAGATTAAGCAAACATGCTCCAAGTTCAGCAATAGGATCCGCCCTTCAAGAGGGTCGATCCGGTCAGACAACGAAGAAGAGTATGTCCCTCCTCCTAGAAACAGGAAGGAGAGGAGAAACTTAGTCGATTGGGGGAGCCATGGGAAAGCACCTCCTCCACCCCAAGACGTCCAAGATGACCAAGGATCAGAGGGGCCCTGCCGATCTTATGAGATTGACGACGATGACGATAACCTCCCTTTCTCAAGGGAAATCCGAAGCTTCCCAATGCCAACTAATTTCATGCCCCCAAAGATCCCCAAGTACGAGGGAAAAGGGGATCCGGAGAAGCACCTCACAAAGTATATGACGCAAATGAGTCTTAGGGGAGCCTCATCTGCTCTAAAGTGCAGAGCCTTCCATTTGACACTAGGCGGAGCCGCCGAGGTATGGTACAGCAGGCTTCCTCCCCTAAACATCAGAAGTTGGCCGGATTTGAAGAAAGCATTTTTGAACCAGTACCTCTCACGCAGGGAAGGAGAGGCGCCGATCCAACGCCTGCAAGACATGAGGCAGGCCCCCGGAGAGACGCTGAAAAGCTATCTCGCCAGGTTTACAGACGAGATTACTTACTGCGAACAGGTCACTGATAGGGAAGCCCTTTCGGCCCTGAAAGGTGGTCTCAACATGAACACTTTGTTTTGGAGGGACTTGCGCAGCAAGAATCCCTCCACTTACGACGAGCTGGTGGAGATGATGAGGGTGGAAATAATTAGTGAAGAAATGATTGATCATCGTAACCGTGCCGCGCAGGGACTCCCTCCCCCACAGAGGCAGGTAGGTCGAGGCCCCGCAGCGCACCTTGTTACTCAGCAATGGACCCAAGCAGGGCATACCATAGCTCCCACATCCGGACAGGCCCAAACTTCCGCCACATTGAACGCAGTGCCGGTATTGGCATATGATAGTGCACCCACTGAGGCAGCACCATCCGGAAGGACTGACAACAAAAAGAAGAAGAAGAGGCCCAATAGGCCCTTGCCAGGAGCAAGATTTTGTACTTTCCATCAACTATATGGGCATGACACCAGTGAGTGTCGGGATGCCAACCGGCGCCCTGATCGAAGCAATCCCCTCACTTCCGGCAGAAATGAGCACCCCCGCAGATCCACCTCCCCGAGGAGGGGAGGAAGGGGTCACCAAGAACAATCTCCTAGCAGAAGAGAATCGAGAAACCGAGTCCAATCCAGGAAAGAGAACCAAGCTCAATTCGCTGGAAGCCAGGTCATCAGGGAAATCGATACCATCATCGGAGGACCCCACGTCGGTGGCAACACCAGGAATGCCCAGAGAAATTATACAAGAGAAGCTAAGGGTCCCCCGATGATCACCTACATTGTCAACGAATCAAAAATAGCAAACAAGATGGCCCCGATCACCTTCTCGCAGGAAGACGTAGAGGGAGTTCACCATCCCCATTGCGACGCTCTGGTTGTAAGGGCCGTAGTGGCTAGAAACGGATTAAGACGCATGCTCGTTGACAACGGCAGCTCCGTGAACATATTGTTTGGCTCCACTTTTGACAAAATGCAAATTGAACATGGGTTAATCCCCATGACCGACCCGCTGTTCGGATTCACTGGGGACAGCATCATCCCACGAGGGCGGATTACCCTGCCTGTGGAAATGGGCTCGGCCCCCTTGGTCGCCCAACATTTCATGGAATTTCTGGTGGTAGATCATAGGTCAGCTTATCATGGGGTGTTGGGCAGACCGACTCTAAAAGACCTTTGGGCTGTGACGTCCATTCACTATCTGTGCATGAAATTCCCAACCGAACGAGGGATTGCAACGGTCCGGGGCGATTAGATGAGCTCTAGGGCATGCTATCTGAACTCGCTACGAAAATCGGAGCCCCGGACTGTCAATGTAATTCAGGCAGTACCCGCTGAAACTGGTACGGATGTGGAGATGCTCGACGCCCCTGAACAGGGGCATACCTCTGAACAAGAGGAAGATGTCATAATGGAAGAGGCTCCTGAACAAGGACACCCTCTTGACGAGTTAGACCCCCGAGTAATTGATTATGAACCAAACGCGACCCCAATGGAAGAACTGGAAACTTTCCCAGTCAATCCAGAAGACCCCAATCAAGTCTTGCGCATAGGGAAGTCATTATCGCCTGAAGCAAGAACTGAGATGATACGATTCCTGAAAGAAAACCTAGATGTCTTCGCATGGAAACATGAGGCCCACTAAAAATAAGGTCATGAAATTATTGTATACTTTGTATAACCAACAAAAGGAATGGCATCGTTCAAACAATGGATCTAGTGGAAGCGGAAGTGGGGGCGATGAATCTAATGATGGAGTCACTTTGTTGGAGGATTCGAATGATGACGATGATGATAGGGGATGATTGCAATTTTGATTTTGGGTATAAGAAATTGAAAACTACCAAAATGAATTTTCCTGGAAAAGATGAGGTACAATGATATCTAATGGAATCCATTAAAGATGCTAGTGATGAAAATTTTGACATTTTGAATTGGTGGAAGATCAATAAATCAAGATTTGAAATTTTATCTAAGGTTGAAAGGGATGTTCTTGTCATTCATGTATCTACAGTTGTTTCGGAGTCAGCATTTAGTACTGGAATGCGCATTCTTGATCCATTTACAAGTTCTTTAACTCCTAAAATAGTTGAGGCCTTGATTTGTACACAAAATTAGCCAAGGGAAGGATCTAGACTTTTGAAAGCTTCCCAAGATATAGTTTGCATTGAAGAGACGGAGTTCTATGAGGGCATTGAGACAGGTGTGTGTGTGTGTAATCTTATTAGTTGAACAAATTTGAATTTATTTATGTTTGCTAATAACTTAATTCTGTTTTTTCAATTTTTTCTTGCAGAGTTTCTTAATAAAAAGTATGACAAGTCAAGCAATTGATGGATAGTTGAAGTTTTTAGTATTAGTGTCTACTATTTGGTATTTGTAAAATTGTAAGCATTGGTAAATTAATCGTGTTGGATAACTTGTTATTTACATGTTATTAAATTTGACTACGTTAATTTGTAAAACTACGATTGAATGTCATTAGTTGTATTTATATAGTATTGTTATAAATATTAAAAATTTTAATTATAGTACGGAATCGAACCCGAACAGTTCCATAGTTATATTTGGACCCGACGGTTCCATTTACTAGATACTCGAAAATTTTGGTTTAATTTGATTCTAAAGAGAACCAACCCGCGCCCACCTATAATCATGATATGATCATACATCACCGTTTGGAGGAAATTTAGGTCATGCTTGTAACAATTTTTTTTATCTTTTTCCATTTTCGATTTATAGGAAAGTACTGCTTCTACAAACAAGAAATGAAAAATTGTACATAATTCACTATAAAATTGCTTACGAACAAATTATTTAAGGATTTTGTCTATTTACATTAATGTATACATCCTTATACAGTTTGTGCAAGTACAAATTCGCACGATAATTTCTCCATCTCGAAACTATTGAAAATATAGTTGTCGTTAAATCTTGAATGTAAAAAGAAAAAGAAATCTGAAATAAAAATAATAATATGACATCTAAAATCTCAAATTAGCAGAAAATGACTCGATAGAAAAGAATTCAATATTTGTTTCATCAAAGTTCGACCAATATGGCCTACATCTCCGTTTTAACGTCTCCTTACGGAGATGGCTCGAGAATTAGTAAAATAAAATTCCGACAAATACACTTTGGTAAATACGTGTCCACGGGCGGACCCACATGGGGTCATGTGGGGTCAGATGACCCCACAAAATTTTTGGGTTTTTTTTTTTTTTTTCCTTTCCAAAAAATAGTTGTTTTAACTCGTTTTCAATCCACTTTAATACATACTAAATGAAAAACGAAATATTGCATTTTTAATATCATTTCTAAGCATTCATGGCCTAATTTTTCACTTTTTAATGGTGTACGAAATGATCGACCATAGCAAAAAATACGATGTGTTAAACTTTTGACCCCACAACCCAAAACTGCTGGGTCCGCCCCTGTCCACAGTTATAAAATTAAATAAAATATAATGGTAAATACGTGTCCACATTTAATTGCGGAATTTTTTCATAAAGCACCGACAAATACACTTGGAGGCAGCAGAATCCATTATCCAAACGGAATACCGGACAACGACGTTCAACCAAACAAGCCCTACGTTTGTTCCATTCAAACAAAACAATTTCCACGTGTCACATCTCAAAACCTCCACCCATCATCGTCCGCCACGAAACAGAAACCCTCGAAAGATATCGCCGCCCCATTTCCGCCGGTGGTCCCTAATTTCACTTTCCCCATTTGCATATACATACGCCTCTTCGACACACTTCGTATGGCTTCTTCGTCTCGCGTATTCTCCTCTTACTTACGCACGCTTTGCAGTCTACCTTTTCGACGATCGTCGCCGGGAATTCCGTTGAGTTCAAGCTTTTTCATTGGTAAATCGGGTTTTGGATCGCTGAGATTGACTTCGAATTTGAGGAAATTTGAGTGCAGAACAAGAGCGTCCATGGCTGAGATTATAACTCCGAAAAGCAAAGGGAAAGTACAAGTGTTTGATGCAGAGGATGAACTGGCGGTTTCACTTGCGAAATACACAGCCGATCTAGCGAATAAATTCTCCAAAGAGAAAGATTCTTTTACTGTGGTATTGTCCGGTGGTTCTCTCATTAAATCCCTCAGGTAATTAAGCTTATCTAATTTTCATTTCAAGAAGAGAATTTTTAGTGTTTTTTTTCACTTGTTTTGAAAACTGCAGGAAATTGGTGGAGCCACCGTTTATTGATTCAGTGGATTGGTCGAAATGGCATGTATTCTGGGTGGATGAGAGAGTTGTTCCTAAGGATCATCCTAATAGCAATTATTTTCTTGCTTACAATGATTTTCTATCCAAGGTACTTTCAGTTCTAATTTTCTCAAATAAATGGCAGTGAAACTTGCATTATGGTGCTCGACTTTTTCCATTTTATAGCTTTTAAGACGAGGCGCTTCAACAAATCTTGTCAATCTTGGGATGTGTTTTGTTGTGTAAAATCCAATTTGTTATGATCATATTGAGGTGAGTCCTTAATATGGTTCGTATTGTTTGATTTGAAAGGAATTAGGATCTTGATTGGATTATGTCAAAAATAATCTGACTAATTCGGAAAAGAAAAGTAGGTTATGAGCTACATTAAGTGGTGCCAAATAACATGCTAATCGTATTACTCGAGTTCCATATAGAGAAGCACAGAGTTAATTGTGGATAATAAATTCTCCTACTGATATTAGTGAAGAAAAAGAATCAGTTTACTGATATCTGCTGACCTCTTATTTGAAGTATGGATTTTTATGATTTAAATGATAGAAAGTTGCGTCCACTTGGCCTCATGTTTGGTGAGGAGGAATAGAAATTGAATAGAACAAACAACACATACAACTCTTGACACTGAACTACGATGTTGTGTTTGGTGAGGAGGACTGGAAAACACTAAAGAACGTGTTTAGCCTGGCTTTAAAGTTGAAAACAGCTTCTATTGGGTTTTTTTTAGGCAGAATGATTGAAGACTCTATAAGGAAGAAAAAGTGTTAAAAATCAGTACTTCATGCTCTGAAGGCATTATTTGTCTTTGTGTCCGTGGTGGTGGCGGTGGTCGTTGGGGAGGTGGTACTTGAGGGGTATGGATGACTTCTTGTGTTGGTGGTGGCGGTGGTCGTTGGGAAGTTGGTACTTGTGGTGGCGGTGGTTGTTGGGAAGGTGGTACTTCAGGGGTATGGATGACTTCTTGTGTTGGCCTGAGATGGAACGAAATTGTGATTGAAATAGTTAAAAATGAGGAAATAAATTAAATTTTCCAAATAATAAAACAGTTTGGCTTGGTGTACATCAAGTTTGACGTCATGGATGACATCATGTGAGTTGACAGCTTTTTGTGTATTGATTCTAACAATATTATTTCTGATCAATGGTCAAATTTTCTACACATAAGGGAATGTCATCCAAAATGTCAACCATGAATGTACAAGTAACTTAATTGATAATAAAAAGTTTGTTGCTTTCTTTATATTGCAAATAATATTTTATATTCTCAATGTCCAGTTTAGTCGCATTTTCTAGGTTTCGAGTAGCTGATACTGCTTGTTTTTGTTGCCCTTCTTTGACGAAGTATAGTTATGAATGACATCCCATGAGACTTGTAAGATTCAAAATAATTTAATGATTTATTTTTAATTTCTTCCCTATTAGAAAGATGTTTATAACCCGACATAGGGTAAACCTAAACAGGATTTTCCCCTGATCCGGCTGGATTATGTAAACTAAGTGATTTCCTTTCTCTTTTCCATTGCAGATACCGATCCCTTCGGGTAATGTGTATGCCATAAATGATGCATTGGCAGCAGAGGCCGCAGCGGACGATTATGAAACCTGCCTCAAACATTTGGTGAAGAGCAAGATCATTGATCAATCTGAGATCACCGGATTTCCTAAATTCGATCTTATATTATTGGGCATGGGTCCAGACGGGCACGTAGCTTCTCTTTTCCCAAGCCATCCTCTTGTCCATGAAAACACGAAATGGGTTACCTGTATAAAGGATTCGCCGAAACCCCCTCTTGAGAGAATATCCTTCACATTACCAGTGATCAATGCATCTGCATATATCGCACTTGTAGTAGCCGGAGCCAGTAAAGCCAATTCCGTTCATGCTGCACTGGGTCCTGGACCGAGTTCTGATATGTTGC